GCGTGTGCGTGTGCGTGTGCGTGTGCGTGTGCGTGTGTAAGGTGTGAACGGATGGGGGAGGGATTTTTTTTTCTTTTACATGAAGGATTTTAGTTTTTGCTGGGTGACCAAATGCAAAATAGGTTACTTCCAAGGTCGAGCAGTCTTGTTTTCTGCAGTGCCTTTTGGAGGTATTTTCAAATGAAGTATGTTAAGGAACGTTGCCCCTACCATGCACGACTGAAGTATCTGAATATTCAGACATTTCAAAATCTCTTGCTCTAGAAATTGAATTTGATGCAAAAAATGCTTCCCCCCAGTCCTCGCAGAATGGAAGAATGAAAGGATGACGCCTAAACCTCGCAAATAACCAAAAAAATCTCGAGATCGGAAACCGTTCGGAGAAATAGAGTTCAGCTTTATTTTCCCGAACGTTCGGAGAAATATATAGTCAATTCGTAAATTTAATGAGGTTCACAGTACACTGAATAACTTAAATTGAAGAGACTATAGCCGCACTTAATGACGGCCAGACTGCAAGGTTAGCCCTAAGTACGGCTAGACTGGCAGTAGTGGCAGGCTAGCCGTGCTTATGGTGGCTAGACTGACAAACGACAAAAAAAGGCCTACTGAATTGTAAATAAAATTTTAATTTTGTAATACCTGGTACCTAAAGTATTTGTATTTGAGATGAAACCAAAAGGTGCCTTACTGACAGTGCATGTATCTAAAACCTGAATAGACCTGTGTATTCAACATGTTTCTAATAGGGCCTAAAATAAGTACTACTAGAATCTAGACGTACTTTAGTAGAAGGCTAGCCGTACTTAACTGTCCCCGCGGTTTAAGGCAAAAAACATTTATGAAATGATGCAAACTGAGCCAAAAAAATGTGCAATTATGCGATTCTGTTAATTTTATCAAAGAATGATGAAGGAAAATGCAAAAAATGATCAAATTTTGCCAAATTATGCGGGGTGCATAAAACCCCAGGGACAGACTTAATGAAAGCTGAATTAAATAAAATTTCAGTTTGCAATACCAAAAGTATTTGTATTTCAGATGAAACCAAAAGGTGCTTTACTGACATGGATGTCATGTATTTTAAACCTGAATCATTTCTAGATCTAATAAGACATGTGTACTCAACAGGTTTCGGTCAATAGGACCAAACCTAGCTAAGTACGGCTAGACTGGCCACTTCGTAAATTATTGCTACAAATTAAGTTACCTCACAACATAAATTTTAATAATCTAACTCAGGGTTTGCAATGATCAGGTCCACCTGAACTTGAATTATATGCCAATAATGGGAGACGAAAATGTAAAAGTTAAAGTGAATGTAGCCCTACCTAGAAGTCACCAACTGGAATAATGTGTGTAAATCTACAGAGTTATTTTTTAAAAACAACACTTTTTTTGTAAATGGTTTCCCCCACACTGAAGTTTTGCGTTTAAAAAATTTGTACACAACATTTGTAAGTCAAAAGGAATTTGTCTGATACTCATTTTAGATAATTCTACAGAATAGTTTTGCTCTACATAGCACGTAAAAAAAACCACACCATTGTTGGGTATGTCCCCATTTTTGTAGCACGATGCACTAGTTCGCATTTGGCCTTCCATAAAAGTTCCAATGATCGCACTATATTGCAACAGTCCAAAAGGCCAACATCATGGTTAAGAATAGTAAAGAGCAGACAGCTTTTTTTGTATTGAACATTTCCTCACCACCAACTCATTTCGTATTTCCCACAAGGTACGGTAACAATGCTAAAGTTAAAGTGCCCTCAATGTCTTTTTTATGTCAAGGGTAGAATTTGGTACATATACATCAGTAGAGAATTAGACCAAAAAATTCCCAGACAAAACGACCACTTCAGATCAAACACACACCATTCGCACTCGTTTAAACGTCACCAAGGTGCAGAATTCGGATGATGAGCCCCACGAGACATCTGTCCGTAACGATGTCTGAGCTAGCACTTTCCTGCATCTCCAGCATTTTCAAGTTCAAGGCAGATCTTCATCTGCCACTGTACAATTTTCCTGTTCACGAAACTGACATGAATCAGAGGATAGCGATGTGTTCATGATTCCTAAACTGTCTTGAAAAGCGTGAACATACCTCTACACACACATACTATATAACATTTGATTCCTTGGCAAAGACCATTTTCACATTTCAGATAATATATGTTAACACCATGCCTTTGGGCAACCTGACCCGCCACCCTACTGTCTTTAGAAGCAACTCGATCCATACTAAGGTGTACAGTGAGTATAGCTTTGAGTACTCATGGTTGGGTGGATCTTTGTGTTTGGCCAACACTGAACATTACGAATGACGCGTTCAAATGGGAGGAGTCCATATAGGAGGACATAAAGGACTAGTTCTCAGAATTCCAGAATTATTTTCTTTTTTTAAAACTCTGAAAGAGAAAAGAAATATTTATTGTTTAAAAGTTACGGTAAAGGAGGGGATAAAAACAAACCAATTATTTCATGACAAGCCAGACAAGATCTTTTTAATTGGTGCATTTTGTGTTTATGGGTGGTTTTTATAAAAGCCATTTCCGTTTTCAAAAACAGGTTTCTTCTCTATGAATTTTTAGTCAAACATTCCTTTTGAATTATATCTGTTCCAAATTGAAACACTTTAGATCTAGTACAAATGAGGTGTGAGATATTCAGAAAAAAAGGTTGTACATTTTGTTCGTCTGTCCACAGTTATAATGGGATCAAAACAAATTGCTCTGTTTACAGTCTCAGGTCTTTGCATGCAGGTCTAAATGTTGGATGACCAACATAATACAGGACTTTGCAAACTCAGGTTCAGACATGTTTTCTTCGATGTTAGCCTAAAGGAGGTCAATACATTACTGGAGATTTACAGCAGAACATCTAAAACATAAAACAGTTGACTTATTTTCATCAGTATTAAACTTCAACAAATATCTCTATATGAAACACAGTCAAACAGAGGGGTGAGAGCTTTTTGAGACTCGTGGAGACGTCTAGAGACAGCCTTGGGAGGAAACCAACCTATGCTTACACTGAAACACGTGGGCAGGGTGGTGTCGCTGTCTCTAAATGAGCTATTTGTTGGCTAGGTTACCTTAAATCATTTAATTGTACTGATCTCATGAATGCACCCAAATGGAAATGTTTAATATCAACAGGACCAAATAAAGTTAACTTTTAAAATTAAATATTTTTGCTTGGTTGTACACTGGCAAATTAAAAAATATGTGCTTGACTTTTATCAATACGGACAGATGAAAGTAAAAAAGATATCAATTTGTGAGTTGTTTGTTCTCCAAACGATCAAAATCATGTTGCTGAGTGTGAAACATGAACATTTTACGCCTTTTGTTCCCAGATGGCGGCACAGAGGGAGTCACGTAAGCGCCTTGTTCCATTTATGTACAGCATGATCGGGCAGTGCCCAGGAGTTGTATGGGAAAACCAAGAAGAGTCAATGTTTCGTGTACCTTGGAAGAAATACAGGACACGAGGGTGGAAACCAGCTGATTCCCAAATATTCCTGGAGTGGGCTAGGAAAACTGGCAAGTTCAAGGAGGGAGATAAGCTTGATTACCCTGTGTGGAGGACTCAGCTTCGTTGTGCCCTCAATAAAACACCAGAGATCCGGGAAGTGGAGAATCAGCACAGTGAAGACGATCCAGATCCCTATCGGGTATATCAGTTTGTAAAATCATTACCACCCTGTTCCTTTTCAATAGACAATGAGTTTGCTTCTATTGCAGCGACTCCTGCAAGCTCTGGCTCCCAACCACCCCCAGTTATACCATTTGAGAAGATCGATTGCTTCCTCGACAATACCTCCCCCCCACCCCAAAACACCATCTCTCATCTTTTGCCACAGGAAAATCCTCAAATTTCCACAGCGGTTCTGGATATAGCTGAAAACTATGTAACAGTCAGCTTAACAGATCCACTTGTAAGGAGTGAGCTGAATCAGCCTCCTCTTCAAACAATTCCAAACGAAAATTCCCCTGGTGAAATGGTTGCTCAACTGCAGAATGAAGCTGCCGTAGGGGAAGTAGGATTTCCCAGTTTCTCATCTGTTGAATCAATGGGGACCAATCAGAGAATGCCATCAGATCTCAGGTCCATCAAGTCTGTTGATCTAGTGCAGCTAGCCTCCGGGGAAAATTTGCCCTCATTGCCTAGTCTGAATACGCCTGATAATAGTTTAGGATCTTACACCTCAGCACAGCCAGAGGAAAAAAGAGAGAACAACACAGTTGTCCAAACTATTCCGAGGCCAGCAGAGGAAAGTGTTTTCAGTTTCTCACTGTGGTACGGCTTCAACCAAAACTTGCTTGTGAAGGAAGGGCTAATTCCCTCAAAGGGCTGTCTTTTTACTGATCCTCCCAAGCTCAAACAGAAAATGCATGGCCCGACAGAAATGGCACAAATTGAGATGCCTTTGGTAGATCAGTTCTACGGCAGTGAAAATATCGATGAGTGTCAAATCAAGTTGATAAGTGAACTCTTAAAGAACATGGAAAAGGGCCTCCTCCTTACTGTCAGGGACGACATTGTCCACGCTCAACGTTTATGCAAAACTAATATTTTTTTGTCTGACAAAAAATCCAAGAGTTTTAAACTGGAGCGTGGGGAGCAAAAATCAATCCCGATATTGGATGTCAAACAGAACAGTGATTCTTTCGTATACCTTACTTTTGGACAAGAAATAAAAAAACATCATGAAAATCCTATGCGTCGAGTGCTCATATGCTTGAAAATAGAGCATTTAAAATCCAAGCAGAAAATGATGGTTCAAGAGGCAAATGCTAATTTCAGCTCACTGGAACAACTCATTTCTGGAAGTGAAGACAATGATCCTCTGTCAGATGAGTTTAAAAGCATGACTGTATCATCTGGTCAGTAAATCTGTCTCTTGATTTCATGTCTTTTGTCAATATAATATTCTCAGTTGTGATTTAAATTTATTGATGTTCTATGAACTTATGTTCTGCTGTAGCATGATAAACTTAGTGTTGGACTAGAGTTACAGTCAAACCTTGTTATACTGTACCCCGTTATACTGCCAGCCTAGTTTACCACCAGGTTTTGCCAATGTGCGAGAAGGAACGTATACACCTTCACACCACCGTCCGCCAGCTGAGTCGTATGGTCTTTATTAAACTAATAGATTTAAATTTGCCCCCATATATATCACCAGCAAATTGACCCCCTGAGGTACACACTACACACAGCACACTGAATCCACTTGGTAGTTGCTTAATAATCTCTTTCCCACATGCGCCAGCGGGCAAAACTATATCTGGTGTCGCCATATATCAGCCCAAAGCCTAAAAGGCTGGCAGGCACCTGTGGGGCTTTTATATTGTAAGAACTAAAGCTCTAGTCTACATATGACAGGTCTAAGTCGAAGGTGACCCAAGGACTGATGAGCATTGGGTAAAAAAAAACCCGACACGTCTACAGAGTCCTTGACACATACAATGGAACTCGGTTTTAACAAACTAGGATTCAACAAAAACTCAGATTCAACAAAAGGACTTTTAAGAATAACTCAGATTCAACGGAAACATACATACATGAGCAAGCTCAGATTCAACAAAGTCGCTTGCAGGGTGAACTGCCTTACAGGACCAATCATCAGCCTAACACACGCGTTGTTAGCGCGTACACATGGACGGGTGGCTAGCTCAAAACACGTGTGACGTGTAATTGAGTGTGCAGGTGTCTGGGGGGATGGGATGAGGGCTAGACGGTCAGAGACAGTTAGTATAAGAACGTATAGGAGGAGGGGGGGTACAAGCGGTCCGGGCATGGAACGTCATCAGAGATACAAATGCGTAACAGTTATAATATATATATATATATATATATATATATATATGTGTGTGTGTATTTTTTCCCCCGGCTATTGATCAATATTTCAATGAGCATGTCTTGACATAGATCTACGTAATGAATGCCTGGAATAAAACGTTACCGTATGCGAGGCCCTATGCAGCAACATAACTTGTTTGCTAAATAATATGTCGTTAACTAAATTATATCCAAGATGACACAGGCGTGCATTTGAAGGAATTAGCTCTTTTGCACAGAGTGTGCTTTGTAGAGTTCACTGTATTTTCCTGGAATTTTCCAGCGTTTCTTCGGTTTCAGAGAAACGAAAATGCCTCTCTTTTGAAACCCAACTAGCTTTGATAGAGAAAGTCGAGAATACATTACACATTACATGCTCTGGCCAGTAATTATCTACACAAAACCCCAATATTTGCTATATATAACAAACACTCAGATTCAACAAAATTGACGGTCAGGACCGACGACTTTGTGGAATCCGAGTTCCACTGTATAGCCCAGTTTCTTTCAATTTGAATGTACGTATGTTGGCTAATCGGTTGCTACTCCTTTTTCCCTTATGCATGGCAATCACCCCAGCAGATCTAGTAGAAGCATGATTCACCAGTTGGTCTCTAGTCTCTACCAGTCTAACACTAGTGAAGATGACAATCAGTGCCATCATGTGTATATCACCAGCCCTGCTGTGCGACCAACTTTGTAATCATCCAAAGGCAGGCAATATATCGGGGTTTGACTGTTTTATGCGTCTAGAGATCTAAATGATCTAGGTTTACAACTGTAGACTGTAGAGGCTCCATTGTTGTTGTACAACATTCCAAATTACCAGATCATCAAATGTGTCATGACACTGTGGAATTAGGCGCTCATCAATTTTTTAGCATAGTGGAGTTATTGGTATCAATAGCTTTCATGGCATTTGTCTATCTTTTGATTAAAAAGCACCTGTCTACCTTGAATTGAACAGAAGTCGATATATATATTTGTGATTGAAGGAGGTGGGGGCACCTTGTTTCAGAGGTAAAATTAGTGAGAAAATAGCAGCCAGAGTTTGGTGACTTCCATAGCTTGAGAATCCTTGGAAATTGAAAATAATTTTTGTGCCTTAACGTTTTTTGTGTAAAAATCCACATAAAAATATGTTTTTAAATGGACATTTGAAAAAGTGTTGAGCCAAAGAATAAAATTTCGATGCCAAACTGGAGGCAAAATGTTGATATCTTTGTTGATTTAATTATTTTGACAAGCACCTGATTTCACACACACACACACACACACACACACACACACACACACTCTGGTGTGTGTGTCACGACGCGGTGGAATCAGGCACCCCTCAAATTTTTGGCATTATATAGAGTCGGTGCAGTGGCGGAGTGGTTAGTGCGCTCGTCTCCGAAGTGGAAAGTCCAGGTTCGAGCCTCGGTTCGTGCATGGATTTTTTTCGCCCCCTCCTACCCACCCAGCTGTAATGGGTAACTGACTTTGAGTTGGGGAAGTAAAGGCGGCGTGGAAAGGAACTGGCCACCCTACCACTCTATGCTGAAGGCCCAGGAAGTTGTCTCACTAACAAGGCAATCCCCAAAGTCCGGATCGGATGCGGGGATAACTTTTTATATACAGAGTCATATATCATCTTAAAGCTTGTTCATTTGTCTTGCATTTGGCACCAAAAAAAATATACCCACTTATCTTGAATAGAAGTCAAGACATTTGCAAGTGAAGGAGGCGGGGGTTGCCTGGTATGAGACGTAAAATTAGTGAGGAAAAGGTGACAAAGGTTGGCAATTTCCAAGCTTGAATTTCCTTGGAAATTAACATTTTTCGTGCCTTTAATGAACGTTATTCAGTAACATCCACACAGAAATTCTTTGTTTAAACGACATAAAAGGTGTTTAGCCAAAAATAATATTTTAAAAAATTGCCTAAGGCCCGAAAAATGGCGGTTTCTTTGATTTCAGTTTTGATGAGTGCCTGATTTCACCAAGCTGCCTTACACACACACATTACGCATGCACACACACTCTTTACACAATAAGTGTCTGCCTAAGATCCCGATGCTCGAGAGCAAGGAAAATGAGGGATCTTAGCCAACGTACCTAGGGAATAATCCATGGTGACCCTTATTCAAGCCCACAACCCGTAAAATGGTCTCCCTTTCCCTTTACTCTGAAATGAACTGACATGACCCTGGGTATGTTTAAGACGAATGGCGAGCAAAGAGCGGTCAACTTTGATGACCTATCACAGCGGCACGAGGCATGCCATTTTCACTTATTATCCCATCCTTAGTCTCAAGATCTACTTTTACCCAGTTGCTCTTGCTCTTTATCTGTCCAGATTTTATAGCAAGAGTTCACAGTTTGATGTCATCCCGCCAGGAGCAAATGTATAGGCACAACCCATCCAGCATGTGATGCAACTTTAGGTTCAGAGCTCAGATGCGAGTGCAATATAAGGGGAAAACAAAAATGTCGGCAAGTTCACATCTTGGTGTGATCCCGTCTGGGGCAAACATTGTACCATTTCATCAAGATTTCAATGGGTAGATTTAGATCTATGTGATCACATTCACGAGAGTGGCTGACCTGTGAGGTAACAGGCAGTTCAAATTTTCACTCTTGGTAATCTTCTGTCCCCACCCGCAATTTTGTGCCGTTAATAATGATCTGAAATATGGGACCTTAACCGAATGTAGACCTTCTATAAGTGGGATCTTAGGGCGACTTTTGTCTCTTTTGTACAGTATAAATTCTGTTTTCTTAAAACAGCGGGATCTTATTTGAGCCTGTGCCAGAACCCCAGCATTTTACATTTTTTACGATGCAGTAATTTTAACTGTTTTGTTCTCCATACACATTTGTATCTCTGTTTGTGACATATGTGTTGTTGATGATATGCTGCAGTACATGTAGCAGCACAAGCAAAAGATTTCTTGTTTTATGTGTATGATTTAATATATTGTGATATCTTTAAAATGATAAAATAAAGTGATTTTGTTGTTATTTTTGCCCATTTCAAAATGTCACATGACAACAGCATTGTTTGTTTCAGTAGAGGTTTTACGGCGCTCGCAAAAAACTGCATTTATATAATAAGGTCGTATGAGCACCAAGGGGTGGATGTCAACAGAGAAGAAGTCCTTTTACAGGGAATTAGACTTTCTCTGCTCTCCTCTCTGGCTTCAACAGGACAAAGTCTGCTTCGACTATCAAGGCACCTCGGAAATAGCGGGTCACAAGAAGAGTGCGACAACAAAACAAGTAGAGGAAAAATGACGATAGTAATGATTAGGATAGAAAAAGCAGCAAGTTCCCTATTCAACCTATATTGCAGGTCAAGATCAGTTATGAGCATGACATTGATGAATCAGCCCATAGATCTCTATATATTTACAATTTCAATTCTACTGTGCATTATAATAAGAACTCTTTAGACTAATGTGTCCCCCCTTTGGGAATGGTCTACCGACACTTCAGTCAACTAGATCTAGATAGATATAGATCTAGACTAGATCTAGAGTCTATATAATCTAGATCTAGATCTAGAGTCTATATCTAGATCTAGCACCGCCCCAAGGCCCAATGGGTACAACAACAGTACAGCCTTGCAATTTCTTCAAAACACATATTTCTGTATTGAATCTCCAAAATTTTACTGGTAGCCTACTGAGGGTAAGTCTTACTAAAGCTAATATTATAATATAGATATAGATCTAGATCTAGAAATCTAGATCTATAAAAATTATATCTCTACTTACATTAGGTTAGGTTAGGCCTACAACTCTGTCGTTCCAACTGATGAATCTGCAAGGACAAGGGAGGGCACTGCAAAATAAAAGCAGAATTGACTGTGTCTCGCAGCACTTGCTCCAAGGTACACAGGCCTCGGCCTCTAGAGTCTAGGCAGAGACACTAAAAATAGAGACTGGAAACGAGGCCTCTTTTCGCGTATCCAGGTCACCAGCTGATTGTGAAACGAGGCGCGGTAAA